CGCGCCTAGTACTTTTTAACATTTTATAAATAACTTACTTTAACCCTACCTAGATGTGTTCTGCACTGCGTATATTAATAATATTCTAATTTATAGTAATAGCCTTTTAGAGCACAAACAGCATGTACGCCTAGTGCTAAAGGCTATAGAAGAAGTAGGTCTATAACTTAATATAGATAAATGTAAGTTCTACTAATTAAAAGTTACATATTTAGAATATATAATCTCTATAGATAGCATCTAAATAGACCCTATTAAAGTTTAAACTATGCTAGATTAGCAATACTTAAAGGACATAAAGAATGTTTAAGCTTTTATAAAATTTACTAACTTTTACTAATAATTTATTAACAACTTTTTACAGTAAGTAAGCCTTATAATTATACTTACTAAGAAAGAGATTTAATTTAACTTTAACTTAAATTACTAATAGTCTTTTAACTAGCTAAAGAAAGCTTTTACTAAAGCCCTAATACTCTACTACTTTAACTTTAAACTACTAATACTTGTAGAAGCTAATGCCTTAGACAACGTAGTAGTAAGAGTTCTCTTCTAGACTAAGCTAGATAGGACTATTAGGCCTATTATATACTTCTTAAAAAGAATAAGTCTTGTAGAAGGTAATTATAAGATCTATAATAAAAAATTACTTACTATAGTACACTACTTTAAATAATAGCAACCTAAACTAGAAAGTGCAGCGCATCTAATATAGGTCCTATCTAACTATAAGAACTTATAGTACTTTGCAACTATAAAATAACTTAGCTACTAATAAGCTTATTAGTTTAAATACCTATTTTATTTTAATTTTAAAATTACTTATTATCTTAGTTAAAATAAAGAGAAACTAAATGCTTTTATAAAGTAATTCTAAAACATTTTTACTTAAAAAAAAGTGTAAAAAGCTTAACACTAAACTTTACTTTAACCTAAGCTATTTTTAAACCTTAACCTAAATAAAATAAATTAGATAATTAATTAAATTATTACTAATAAGTATCTAAATAATAAATTTATTTAAAAAACTCTAAACTTACTCTAAAACAGCGCTAGTTAGTTAAAGAAAGTAACACTAGCTAACTATAAAAACTAAAATAGTAAGCTATATTACTATAACTAACTTATAATTTCTAATTCTAATAAACTAAGAATTAAACTACTCTAAATTATACATAACTTGCCTATTAAAGGACACCTAGGCAGAGGAAAGACTCTTAACCTACTATAAAGAGAGTACTACTAGCCCTGCATGTTCTATACAGTACGCTAATACATATTATGTTATTATACTTACTGTAAAGTAAAGGCCTCTTAAGAAAAGTATAATAGCCTGCTTAAACTACTTCTAATCTTTAAATAAGCTTAGAAAGACATATTAATTAATTTTATTATAAACCTACTTTTATCTAAAGAGTACATAAATATTATAGTAGTTATTAATTACTTAACTAAGTATTAACACTTAATACTATGTTCCTTTATAACTGCCTCTAATATAGCCTAGTTATTTTACTAATATATATAAGTTTACTATAGCCTGCCTAACATAATTATATTAGATAGAGGTACACAGTTTGTCTTAGCCTTCTAGAACAAACTCTATAAATAGCTCTAAATTATCCCCTATCTATCTACAGCTTTTTACCTAGAAACTAATAGCTAGACTAAAAACATAAACACTATAATAAAATAAGTCTTATAAGTGTATATAAACTACTAGTAAGATAACTAAGTAAAATAGTTAGCTACAGCATAGTTTAAAGCTAATAATATAATATTTAAATTAACATAAGTATCTTTATTCTTAGCAAACTATAGATACTACTTTTAAATAAAATTTAAACTACTTTTAAATACCCCTTAACTAACTTATTAATCTATATAAGTAATAGATGTAAATAAACTTATTAATAAAATTTAAAATATATTTAAATATGTTTATAAAAAGCTTACATAGGCTTAAGCTTTTTAATAAGAGTACATAAACTAATTTTAAACCTCTACCCCTGCGTATGCAGCTGGCAAGAAGGTCTAGCTAGACACTAGAAATATTTAAATAAACTAATAATTAAAAAAACTTAATTAAAAGAACTTTAGCTTTTTTATAGTAGCCTATATAGTCTTATTACATACTTACTAATTAATCCTACCTAACAGCATAAAGATACACCCTGTGTTCTATGTATTATTACTGTGCTAAGTAGCCTTTAAATTTAACTATCTACTTAAATAGCTAAACCTGCTACTTAAACTTATTATTATAAATAATAAACTAAAATATATTATAAAAGATGTTAAATAGATTTAGTTTAATAAAAAAAAATGTACCTATAAATACTTTATAAAATAGACTAGATATAATAAACTGTTATAAGAACCTATAAAAGCTCTGTAAAAGAACTCTATAGTAACTTAATTCTACGCCTAATACCTATCTAAACTAAACTTGTACCCTAATAAAAACAACTTAATGCTAGAACTACTAATGTAAAGGATTCCCTTCTTAATAAGAGGGGGGGTACTGTTACAGTATCCTCCTTAGATCCTAGACATAACTGTATTAGACGTGTACTAGAGTATTATTAGTGCATGTCTAACATAAATATAACATAATATAGATATAAACTTAAGCATAAACTGCTTTAACACTAACTAAACTTAAAACAGGCTTAATTTATACTTAAAGTGCTTAGACTTCTAAGCTAAGTATTTAATTACTAATTTCTTTTTAAACCTTTCTGTTTCTTACACAACGTCTTGTACCTACTATAATACCTTATGTAGTAATTAAACTAGACCTCTGTGAAGCTCTATAACCTTACTCGTGCACAATCGTGACAAAGCTAGAGACTACTTTTAGCTATAAAAGTAAGCCTAAAAGCTATATACAAAATGCATTTTAAACTATGTAATATTACATAAGAATACATTTAATTAATAAATAAGCTTCTACACACACTGTACACAAAGCTACTAAAGGAGATGCGCTAGAACTTTCTACTAAATATAATCTTCTAGTTTGTACAACTCTTATATAAAGCTATAAAATTAGGCCTATATTAGTTTAAAACATACTATAACTACTATAAAGAAAAGCTACACATGCACATCTCTTTATACAACCCTTACTTTTTAATTATAAATAAAGAAAAGTACACCTTTAGTATAACTAGCTTATAAATAGATAATACTTTAAGCATTATAATAAAAAACTTTACATAGAGAGAGAAGAATAAACTGTAGAAAGCAAATCTCTGTATAAAAAGTAAGACTATGCTGTCTAAAAACTAGCCTGTTAAATTTAATAAAAAAAGATTTAGCTTATATAAAATAAAGTTACTCTTATCTAAAAATGTTAGGTAAAGAATCTTTATATAATTAATGCTATAGTAGAAGATGCTGCACAATAGTATGTTGTATAAAGAGCTAGAGAAGTATATATTACTTAGTATGTTAACTAGAGGTAGTATTTAATCTCTTAGTTACTACCTAAATTATAGATCCTTTACATAAAGACATTAAAGCTCTTAACATACACATCTAGTAGTAGATAGATAATAGTAGCAGAGGACTTACTTTTATGCTACTACAACTAGACTACATAAAGGTGTTTATTTTTATAAATAAATTATTTACTAATAATAAAAACTATATAGAATAAAGTAACTACTTTAAAATACTAGGTAACAGTATACACTAGAATTTTACTAAGTAAAAAAGAGTAACTAGAAGTGTTCTTACTAGTAAACTATATAAAAAAGTTAAAAAGTTTAATAATATAATTACCTTTAGTATAACTTTATAGTAAATTATATAAACACTTAAACTCCTACTAATTCTAGTAGGAATCTAAATAAATTTAAGGTTTCTATATAATTACTTTATTAAGCTAGGCACTACTAGGAAAAATAACTTATAATTAACATTATATTACTCTATAAATTATATAAAAAGAGAGAAAGTATAAAAATTAAGTAAATTAATAGTAAAAACAACTTTATAAATGCATGTATAAAAAAAACACTAAATTAAGCTTTTTAATAATTAGTCTTAACTAACTGCCTCTCTGTCTAAATAGAAGCATCTGTAGACTAGATAGATTCTATGCGCAAAGATGCTTTAGACTAACTAGACTAACAACACCTCTATATAAGGCTTATTTTCTTTTATCTTTTCTATTACACGCACTTTTTTACGCAAAGATCCTACACTATTCTATTATAGAATCCTGCACAAACAGCTTGTACACTACTAGACATTTATAAAATAAGTGTATAAAGCTAAATAATAATAGCTTAAACACTTTATATTATTTATAAAGCTATTTATAAAGCATAACTAGCTTATTCTAATATATAGCATTACTAGGGCAAGTTCTAATAAATAGGGTAGAGTATAGGCAGAATATATTTAGATAGACCTGCATAAACAGAAGGGAGGTAACTAGTACAAAAAGCAACTTCTTAGGTAAAAACAGAAAAGTTGCTAGTGTCTATATGTAGCAATAGTGTTACAGTCTAGATAGTTATTGCGTAAGAAAAGGATTATGTAGCTATGTCACATAATGCTTGTGCGCAAACCTCTGTACATAAACATCTAGATATTCCCCTTTTTCTCTGTACAGAGGAAAGACAGAGCAATATAGAACTAGAAACATGTTGCCTCTACCCTACCTACTTCGTACGCTGTGCACACGACTCTAGGCATCCACAAGCCGAATAGGCCAGTACTACCGTGTCAAGAGACGATGGAGCAGGGAGATGGACTCAACCCTAAGTAAACTCATCTGCACTTTTGACGAGAAGTAAAGTGTTCTAGATCCAGGTGTAACGAAGAGCAGAACACCAAAGCTACGTACAGGGGGCCATAACTTCCAATTCTACACTTATGGTACTTCATCTAGACTTCCGCTTCTTCGCAAGCCTCTTCTCCGCCCTCACATCCTTCTTCAACCTAGCATCCACCATTTTATATTTCCCCTTTGTACCTTTTGGTCGGCCCTTGATCCCGTTATTACCACCTCGTGCGACCACCACCGAGACCTTCTGTTTTGGTTTCTTCTTTGCAGCTCTGCTCATCAACCGCGCAATACTCTGCGCTTTCTCTTTCTCTGTCATACCCTCTTCATCTGCCAACAGCGCACTCTTCTTCTTTAATTTTTCTAACCGCTGAGCAGCTTTAAACTTCTTCCTCGCTTTCGCTTCGCGAACCTTCTTGATAGGACGAGCGTTCAGAGTACGCAGCTTTTCCTTGATGGCGGCTGCGGCCGCCGCAGTTGTCGGACGCTGGATTTTGGAGTGCTGGTTCTCGTCGTCGAGGAACCAGTCGGGAAGACCTTCGACGTCACGCAAGGAATATCGATTGAAGCTATCGTCGACGAGATCGTGTTTGGTCTTCTTGCCCGTGGCAAGCAGGTGTGCTAGGGTCATGGCTTCTGCAGTGATGATCTCGATGTCGGGACGTCCATTCTTCATTGGCATGTCGTCTTGCTCCCATGCGGTCTCGTCGCGCCCCACTTCTTCGATTTTATCCTCACCCTCTCCAGATGACGAGTGCCCTGAGGCGTCCTGTGCCGTTCCGTTTTTAGTAGATTTCGATTTTGCCAGTTTCGGAATTTTGGCGGAGGGTAGTTCGATTAGTTTTGCCGACTTTGACGGCCGAAGTGGTTCCTCTACACCCTCTTCAGTAACATCCTCTATATCAATTCCGCTGTCCTCATCCTCCTCAAGTCCGTCCAACCCGTCAATCACTCTAAAGATATCTTGACCAAAGAATCGCGCCGCTCGTTTCGTAAGACCGTTGCTTGTATCGTTTTCGTGCTCTAGGTCTGTGATCAAAGCCTTGAGTCCGTCTTCCTCGTCCTCGCTAGAGTCGCTGCCATCATCTTCCACAATCTCCTCATCACTGCTCACATCCTTCTGACTATCGGAGAAACCGTGCCATTCACCATCTTCGTCTTCTTTCCTTGCGCGCTTCGCTCTGTACTTTGCATCTCTTGTGGACTTCTGTTCTTGATACTCGTCGTACATGGAGTCTAGCTCCCGCTCGAGGCGGTCTTCCTCATCATCGCTCTCTAGTTCTTCGTCACTGGATTCCTGCGGTTTATTGTGTTCGACGATGGTCGCCATTCTCCCTTTAGCGACCTTGGCTAGAACACCAGCCTTGTCGACAGCCTTCAGTCCAAACATTGAACCTTCGCCTTGAGGACCTGTCTGCTCCATGCCGATATCCATGGGGGTCGTCATGTTCATTTGCATGCGCACAATTTCTCTCTGCCTTTTATCGTTCTCTCGTCGTCTCTCTTTCTTCTTTTTCTTCGAGTCTTGGTCCTTTAACCTTTCCATCTCCTCCTGGATCTTCATTTCCTCGTCCATAGACTCAATTTCGGCAACCTCGTCTCCCTCCTCCTCCTCCGCCTGTTTGTCCTTCTTCTTTGAGAAGCCAAAGATGTCGCGCACCTTCAATCTCCACCGGAGCAGTCGCTTGAAATCAGCGCGCCCTAGCACCTTCAGGTCGCTACAGCAGTTGCGGACTTCTTGTGTCGTTTCGGGTAGCTTGTCGATGGTGGCAACGGCAATGTCGCCATTTGGCGTTTGGTTAAAGCTTAATTTGTTCAAGCTCCCCAACAAGGCGATTGGATCTGTAGTCTGGATGAACTCACTCACGGGCGCCTCTTTGAACTGAGTCCAGTCACCCTCCTCGTAACCTTGCCTCTTCCTCTTCTTCACTTCTGGCTTGAAGACCTTTGCCTCATTGTTTGGTGCAGGATCTGCAAGTTCGGCGAAGACAGATCGAGCATCGAGGAACTTAGGGTCGAGGTGCTTTGGGGCTTTGTAGCCACGACACACGACGAAGATTTCAGCGGAGACATTTCGGGAAGATGGAGGCTTGGTCGCTTCGACTTTGGCAAACAGCTGGTTAAAGACCCAGAGGAGTGAGTTGTAGTCTTTTGATCTGAAAATTTTAGTGACGAAGGTGCCACCTTCAACCAGAAATTCCGTTGCGAGCTTCAATGACTGCAAGACCAGCTCGGCCTGTGTGAATGCATCCTGTACCCATGCGGTACCCACATTTGGCGCTCCATCATGTAGAACCGTGTCAGCTTTCCACGTTTTTAGGTGCTGCCGCAGGGTGGCACGGCACTTGTCGGTCGTGATGTCGCTCTGGAAAGTAATGCATCGTGGGATTGGCTTGATAGGGGCGAGATCGACACCGACGATAAGGGAGTTCACAGGCATAGCCTCGGCCGCGACTTGACACCATGACTGCCAATGTCAGCAGAGGGAGAAGAAAATCAGAGCGTCCACGGGGTAAGAATACTCACTCCTGGTGCAGCACACAAGTCTATCAGCACCTTGCTCTTCTCCAGGAAGTTGTATTTCTTGTTTAACTGTATCAATTTGAAGGCGGCTCGGGCACGGTAACCCTTCTCCTTCGCAAGCTTGTACCATTTGTCGAGACGGCCTTTGCCGTGCTATGTTCGCATTAGCTGAGGCATGAGTAGTCGGAACTGAATGCTTACCTTCTTCTGGATTGCCATGGCTGGCGTCTGGCGGGTGTCTGGCTGTTGTCTGGATGTGGGTTTGACCTGCTCGCCCGAATTTTTTGGAGTCGAGAAAGCGGTCAAGCGCAGCAGAAAAGGGTGTGGCGTGTGTGGCTGGAGATCTCCCACACCCAGGCAAAACTCGGGAACGAGGAGAGTGGCGCCTCCCAACGCGCTAGCGACCAACTAGGCCGCAGCACAGGGCAATGACGATGTGACGACCATGGACAGGCACCCCAGTCTTGCAAGGTAAACAACCACCCACCCTCCCTTGAGCCGCAAATACTCACGCACATTCCTTCTAGCGACCACTCAGTCTTCTCAGTCGTATCAACGCCGGCTTTGGAATGAGCCCACGCAAGAAGTCGAAGCCGAACCCCAAGGCGGCCGTCGACACCACTCCCGGTCTCCGGAGCTCCGCGGCGACCGGTGCTTCGAATACCGCCTCAGACATACCGAGCCCTAGCGAAATACCCCAGAACGCGCCCTCGAATAAATCGGTAGCCGAGTCCGGTATCACTTCGGATGGGACCTCAACACATGAAAGCTCTAGTCTCCAGACGCTGAACAAGAAGCCCAGTCGGAAGTGGCTGGGGGGCACCGGAAGCTGGCGGTCAAAGGCGCCGGCAATAGCTAAGATTGCTAAAGAGAGCATCGGTGTGAGTCGAGGAGCCACGGCAGAGCTGCCCGGAGAGCATGCCAAGAGCCCGAAAGAGCAGGAGCAGTCCCCCAAGAAGTTTCTCTCGAAGCGCAAATCGAGTAAAGGCGATGCAATACCAGCAGCCATGACCAAGCTAACCGTCTCTTCAGACGGCTCGGTGGGCGACCCCCAAGGTGTGCAGTCGGGTGCGACGCCGATGGATCCTGCAGATCCTCCACCACCCACTATTGAGGAGCCACCCTTCCCCCCAGATCCCCAGAAGAAGGAACCGAACAGCCAAGCCACAAGCACATTCGGATGGCGGAGCTGGTGGTCACGGCCCGACGGGTACGACTCTGCTCAGGTAAAAGAGGGTAACGCGCAGAATGACACCGACGAGGCACAGAGGACCCCACTGCCAGGTGCGACGCCATCCGAAGATGCGGATACCAAGTCGAAGGAGCTCGGGAATAGTACTGCACCTGATCAGTCTTCGGAACAAACAATGGACGTTCAGGCTGCGTCAGAAATGGTTAAGGATGCTAGCGCAGGAACAGGAAACGTATCAAGTACGTCGTGGTTCTGGTTATGGAGTAGTGGGCAGAATGCGCAGACAAACCCATCCCCCACAGCATCCCAAGCTGGGGATTCATCTCCGGGGCCGGTTTCTACTGCTCTGGTCGCGCCCGTAGAGTCCCCGAAACAACCAGAAATGCTCGTAGAGGCACCACTAGTTGCACATAAAGAGACACTAGAAGACCCACCAAAGCCATCTGGTTGGGCCTTTTGGATAAGGCAGAACCCTAAGGTGGAGAGCAATACAGCGGCGAGCTTGCCCCATAAACAGGTTGGGGAGGTAGCAGTATTCGATACGCCTTCCCAATCCAATCCAGAAGCAGCTCAATTCAATGAGCAGGAGGAACAGGCCAATGACCAAACAAGCCAAAAGAATCCTCTAAAGCAGCTTGTACCCGAGGCAGCGCCTGCGCCAAAAAAATCCTTCATGAGCCTCCGCGGACGCACGAAGGCTAAATCTTCCCCAACCGACACCCCTATCGAGACACCAAGCTCCAGCATGGCCACCACACCCTCTAACGCATCACCCAGTCACTCTTCAGCCCACACCGAGACGGCACCTGCAGCACAGCTAGCACCCAACCATCCAGCAAAGACGAAAGAACAGCCCAATAACATCATTCTCCCCGAATTTAACCACACGTATCGGCTTGTGCAAAGGCCGTCTTACTGGCAACAGATCCGTCAATATTTCCTCGGTGGCGAATCAGCCCAACCGCATCTACATATCAATCCTGCCCCCCCTCGAATTCGGAAGGCTGTAGCCATTGGAGTTCACGGCTTCTTCCCGGCCGCCATGTTCCAGAAGATCCTCGGACAACCCAAAGGCACGTCTGTGCGTTTCGCGAACGCCGCTGCTGCGGCAATAGAGGAATGGACACAGGCTCGGGGTTACTCGGCGGAAATAGAGAAAGTGGCCCTGGAAGGTGAGGGCTTCATTGCCGACAGGGTGAAGACGTTGTGGACATTGCTGGTTAATTGGATGGAGCACATCAAAGCCGCCGACTTTGTTCTTGTCGCATGTCATTCTCAAGGCGTTCCCGTTGCTATCATGCTAGTGGCCAAGCTGATACAGTTTGGTTGTGTGGGCACGGCCAGGATTGGCATCTGTGCCATGGCAGGCGTGAATATGGGGCCTTTTATTGAGTACAAGACGAGGTATCTCGGACCTACGGCAGCAGAATTGTTCTCATTCTCAGACCCCAAGAGTCTGGTTAGTGAGATGTACCTTGGTGCACTTGACGAAGTTCTCCGAAATGGCGTCAGGATCCTCTACATCGGTAGCATCGATGACCAGCTGGTCTCACTGGAGGTAAGTACCCCCTCCCTTCCCATTGCCCCATCCCAATCATGCCACCATCCATCTTTAACACTCCCCAGTCCTCCACCTTCTCAACCCTCTCCCATCCCTACATTTACCGTGCTGTCTTCGTTGATGGCCGTATACACGCACCTGACTTCCTAACCCACCTCGTCGGCTTCGCGCTCAAGCTGCGGAACCTCGGGCTTCCGGACCACGGACTCGTCCGCGAGCTCTCCCCTGCGCTAGCAGGCTCGCTCTACGTCGGAGAAGGCCATTCCCGCGTCTACGAGGATCCCCGAGTTTACTCCCTTGCTGTCTCCCACGCCCTCGAAACAACCTCTCTACCCATCCAAACCGCGGCGCCGCGACCCTCGACAGCCGTTAGTTTGGCGGGAATCAATATTCCTGTTCCAGGGGCTAAGGAAAATAAGAAGGATCCGTATGCGTTACGGGTGAAGGATTATGAGAATGGGGGAGGGAGTAGTGCGAATCAGAATCCGTATTTTTTGCCATGGGCGATGCGCGGGCTGTTGGAGGAAGAATTCGTGAAGAAGGAGTTAGGGCGCGAGGTGGAGGGTTTATTGGGGATGTTTGAGGAGTGGAAACCTGTGAAGAAAGAGCTGAGAGATGTTAAGTTCAGGCTTGAGGGCGTTAGGAGTAAGCTTTGAGTCTGATTTAGGCTTAGGTGGTTTTGGATGATGTTTGGTGGGTACTTGGAGTTTCGCCAGCGCGATGCGTGGCTAGGGCTGTCGTTGGCGAGGGGTTGGTTCTCTGGGCCTCTCTGAGCGGGGCGTGCATGGTGTTCGGATTGATATTCACGATACCTATCTAGACCATCTGAGATATATGCATTCCGCAAACGAAGTATCTTTTCATTGATTAAGTTATCCATTCTTCCCTATACAGATACCGGTACCCTTGCACCTAATACTGTCTCTTTTCTTGAATCCAAGACATCAACGAGCCATCCATTCCCATGGGTTATGCCATCATGCAATTACACCGTCCGCACAACCTCGCCTTCAGTCGGTCGTAGCCGGTCGTGCTCCTGGGGCAGCATCAAACTCGCAGACACCATGGAGAAACTGTCACAGGATGCATGTTTCCCAGCGTGCACTCAATCCCCATCATAGAAGATCTCCTTGTGGCGATGCGTAGCCTCCACAACCGCGTTTGCAGCATCGAAATCTGGACATTAATTGTCAGTCTGAAAACCTCTATCCCATCTAGAACACGCTTCTAGCACCCCGGCAAGGTCCTCTGGTGGCATGTTGAAATCCGGGACAGCGCCAATATTCAGTTCTTACAATCCCTGAGGCGTTTAGGGGAAGGCGAGAGGAGTAGAAAGAGTGGTGGGCAGAGGACTGAACATACCGACCCCAGTTCCAAAGTCCGTCGCAGCTTGCACCTTGACATTTAAATTGCCATCGACTTTCCCAATTATTTCTACAGCATGGTTGAGCACAAGATGGCAATCCTACATGCAGCAAACGCACAGTCAGCTTAGTTTCTGAACCTCAAGTCCAAATTACCAGATCTTTAGTCATTGTCGAATTTAAACCAAAACTAGAATTGAAACTGCACCACCAACAAAAGCTTCACATAAGGAAATAATCAAGAAGGTTAACTTTGGGGCTATGGGCTCACCCGATTCAGCACAACATCCACATTACCACCCGCATCAATGACAGCTGTCTCACCCCGCAGTTGGACTACTTTCCCTAGCATGCGCACAAGCTTGTGCTGGAACTGGGCGAGGTGCGGGGCAAGGATACGGGGAGTTTGTGGGTGGTCCATTGGGAGGTTCTATTTAACTCGTTTCGAATTCAAGCGGAAAGGTCGGTTGTTAAGGGAGTACCTAGGATGTGGATATTTGAGAGGGGTGTTGTGCAGAAATTTAGATACGATGAATTGGGAAGGTTGAAGTGGAGGTGAGGGTGAAATGGATGGACGGTGTTGAGACGCGCTGCGGGGTGGAGCACGCTAGGACGATGCGAGCGCACGTGAGCTTTGTCTTTAGATCACGTGTATAGCTACACTTTTTTATGCGGAATTAGGGAGGGGATGGTTGAGAGGGGGTTTTTAACCAGAAATTATGTAGGACGCTGTTTTTACTAAGTAAGTGCTAGATGCTGTTGGCGTAATGCTTCTTAGGGCAGGGAGACGAGATACTATAGTAGTGACAGTCCTGTTTTCTAAGAAGAGACTTTCACCTCTACGTACAGCTAGAGGGTTTAGTAAGAGCTTAACTATTTTCCTGTTACGTTAAGAGAGGCAGTTGTATTTGCGTTATTGCATAAAAGTGGCACGCGAAGCATATACTATGTTTCATCGCCTAACGCACGGCCCCTTGTAACGCAGTTTTAAGATGTTGCCCCTATTAACTTTAAAGCTATACAGCTCTATAGAGCTTATAAAATAAAGTAGTTTTCTAGAGTTATAAGAAAAGATTACTAATGAATTAATCTATTAACGTACTTCACAGGCAAGTTGCTTACACACCTAAGTTGCTTACTTTTACTAAGACCCTACTAAACTACTCTTTTTACACTAATGCATTCCTAATAACACTACTTAGATGTGCTAAAAAAATATTAGATATAGCTTACACTTTAAGCTTTTAAATAAAATATAAAACTTTTAAAAAAAATACTACAGCTATATATAAAGTCTTTTAAAAGATAATAAATAACTATAGCGCTAGATAACTATTACAAGCTAATTCTACAGCTAACTTATAGAGGCTAGGTAATAATAAAGAGTAGGTAATTGTTAAGACTATACTTAAGCTATATGCGCAAGGATTTTCCCCTTAGATAGCATTTATAGCTAATATAGCTAACATACTTTATGTAACGGCGCAGGCAAGACAATGGGTCCGAATGCGGTATGAATCCACTCAGAGGCATATAGGAGTGCGTGGGGACTCAGAGACCTGGGAATACCAATGACACATATAGGCCTTGTACGTAGGATATTAGAAAACTACTAAGCTAGCTACAGGGGCAAGGTGCGACTAAATACATAAGGGAATAGGGGCAACTACAGGGGACTAGGTTAAGTTATAGTTAGGGCTGATACAGGGACCCTTTAGATAGGATCTAAGCAACCTAAGATAGAACAATTTGTAGAATTGTTACACTACCCCCTTCTCTATAAGCTAATAGTCCTTATCTATAGTGTTTAGAAAGTATTTAAAAATGCTTTAAAACTAATTTAAATAAGATATAATAAGTATAACTATCTTAACTAAAATTTTCTATTACTAAGAAATAGACTAAAAACTTAATACTAATATAATGCCTTTGTTATAATGTTTTTGTTTAGTAGTAACTAGTAGTGTAGTTATTATTAATATAGTAAATTTATTATTTATAGTAATAAGTATTTACTTACTTTACTTATATAGTTTAGTTAATTTTGTTAGTTTTTTTTTTAGCTATTATCTAATTCTTTACTTTATAAGTATTATTATGCACCTAACATTTTATAGCTTAGTCTGCTAACTAATTATAGCATTAAAGAAAATTACTATGCTGCTCTGCCCCCCTCTTAGAGCCTCTTTAAAGGCGTTTTAAGTTATTTGCTTTTAGGCTGCCTACACCCTTACTTGCAGCTTTTAAGTTAAGTTTTTTTATTAGTCCTTTAAATTAAAGAAATGTAAATATTACACTTTATATAATAAGAAATGTAATTTTATATAAATATAGTCTAATACTGCTAGGTTATAAGTTACTAATGCGCGCGTAGGTCTTTTTATATTGCAAAAAGAAGTTTTTAGTCCTGTAAAGCTATTTTAAGCTATAGGCAGCAGCCTAAAACATAAAAAGTAAAAAGAATAAAAAAAGAGCTTTTAAAGCTATTTTAGAGTTTACTTAAAACCTAGCGTAAGTAGCGTAGGTTATAAAGAGCTAGAAGGCTAGGCTTCTTACAGCTAGTGTTTAGGTGGCTTTATTCTACTAGAATACTAAGCTGCTTTAATAAGTTTTAGCCTTAAAAGCTCTAGTGTCTAACTTTTAGGTAGACATTATAGCACTTTTAGGCAGCTAAGGATAAAGCAGAGAGGGTTTAGAGAGAGTCTAAAAGGAAAAAAGAAGGGGAAGGAGAAGAGAAAGAAAGGCAGAGAAGAAGAAAGAGAAGAGTTTAGAGGTGTCTAACAGCTTACTATTAGACCTTCTAAGTAACATGTCTATAAAGTTATAATAATATTATGTAAAAATATAATCTAACTTTTTACTTTTATACTTTATTATTTACTAAGTAATCTATACCTTTTATACTAGCTTTAAAAGCCTTAATTTACTTTTATAAAGCCTTTAAAAGTCCTAGCTAATTTAGATGCTTATTATAAAAAGCTTTTAATTTATAAAAGGAACCTATAAAATTTAAAGCCTTATACTAGACTAGATTAGAGTTATGTTCTACTTATTTTACTTAGTACTTAAGCATTTTCTAGTAAAGCTTGCTAGTAAGTATTTTCTCTACTTTCTACTTCTCTACTTTATTAATAGTAATTTTAGGGGGTTTTAGAGGTTCTTATTTTAAAAGCAGATTCTAAGGATTTTTATAAAGTATATTTAGTATAAAAATGTTATATATCTTTAACTTTAAAAGTAGCTTTAGGTAGTATAAGTTTCTAACTTATTTAAGTACCTTAAAAGAGCCTTTTTATTATTTAGATAGTTTTTAGCTAGGTTTTTAAATAGCTAAGTTCTTAGTGTCTAAGTAGACTATGTTACTAACCTTCTAGTTAACTAGCTAGTAGTAGTAGTTAACTATAGTTTGCATCTAATCCTAGGCCTTTTTTATATAGGTCTTAGTTAACTCCTAGGCTGCATGCATGTAGGTTGCTAATGCTAAGGCATCCTTATAATTTAGCTTATCTGTAGCTGTAATAGGTTCTGTAGAATGTTTCTAGTCCTAGCTTTAATATAGTTTAAAGCTGTATAAGACTTAATATAAAAACATTTTAATTATTATATAAAGTAAAGTTATTTAAGCTTAATTAATTAAGAGTAGTAAGAAACTCTAGTTATCTTAGTAAAAAAATATAAAAGGCCTTAGTCTTTAATTAATATACTTATTTATAATCTCTATTTAGCTATTTATTTTCTTATAATAAGCAGTAAAGAGCTTAACTTTTATGCCTAAAATTTAACAAAATTTAGACTAGAAACTAGATATAAACTAAAGTTCTTAATTAGAAATAATAGTTTTAGGTGTGTAGCTAAAATAGTACACTTATTAAATAAACAAAGTAGCTATTTTCTAGGCATTAATTATTTTATAGCAAGGGATAGAAATAGCTTATTTTAATAGGTAATTAATTATAACTATAATCTAATTATATCTAGACTTGTCTTTAAGAAACTCCTTAAAGTTAATGCACAAGTGCTGCATTAGTTAAGTAGGAATTAGTAAGGGGTAGATAAAGCCTAGAGTTTAGGTCTATTTTAGATAAGCCTTATAATAAGAGAGGTAATTCTGTACATATTATTTGCAAGTAGCCTTTATACCCTTCTAGTAGTACTTTTAAGCTAGTAACTAATAAGTTTTAGTAGCACTAGAATATGCTAAAGATACTTAGTTATAGACTTTTTAGATAAGTTAGGTACACAGCAATAAGTCTACTAGCACACATAAGCAGTTAGCATAGAGGAGTAGTCTATTTCTTATTTAATAATAGTAGGGTAAGAGTTTTTACTTTTACATAAAAAAGGCTTAATTTTTTTAGAGTAATATGTTAATTAATTTTAGAAAATTTAGAGACATAACCTAGTCTAGTCCTTTTATAATATTTAGTGTAGCTGCTTAAGTTGTTATTTAAGTAATATAGTACTAGACTAGTTTAGAGTTAATTTAAAAGTAAAGTTAGTGCAGCCCTAGTAAGACCCTTAACTTATTATTAGTTTAAGCTGCTCTTAAATTTTCTACATCTTATTTGTAATAACTAAGGATGTCTACTCTAGTGTTATTCTTACTAGGGGTGTACTTAATTTAAAAGTAATACTAAGCTAACTTTTTAGCCTAATAGACCTAATAAGCATTTAGCACCTTTATTATTATAAAGTACTTTAATAAATAATAATTAGTATATACTAGGGTGCTTGTTACTATAAATGTAAGCTTAGCCCTTTATTATTTAAACACAGTAATAATTGTAAATAGCTTTTTGTTATGTATCTCTTAGTTTAGCTCTAAACTAGATAGGACCTTGCTATAGAATAATATAGGGCACTAATTTCTATCTACTTGTTGTCGCAACCGCTAATCAGGGAGCAATGAGGAGCAAGTCTATTAACTATGAGAGGCTCATAGGGAGCCTGCCTATGTAGTGGGAGCTCCGGCGCCAAGTGTCTCAGGCTGCTCGTCCGAAACACAGGTGCGACACCAGGACCATGTGCTCTCTTACGCGACACACCCCCCAGCTCGCCGAGAGTAACGAGGGGAGCTGAAAGAGAGCAGAGCAGCACAATGCGTAGACAGAGCAGCCAAAAGATCTTAGACAGAGCAGCCAGAAGAGCTTAGACAGAGCAGCCAGAAGAGCAAAACAGAGTAATAGAGAACAGTAAGAGAACAAAAGAAAGCAGGGTAACCATCATAAGACACTTAGGGCGTGGGAGACGGCAAGCTCTTCGCACACGCGGTCAGTACATGGGAAAAAAACGAGTGACGCTTCATTGAGCATGCTGCCAGTCCGGCCAGACCTGATCCATAACTTGATGAGAGCGCGAGCATGCAGCATACAGTCTGGGCGCGCCGCGCTGTTAGGGATGCCATCCTAATCCACGACGTCCTCACTAAGCTCATGCCGTAATGTTGCTGGGGTACCAGCTCGCCCCAGCAGTGACCTTCAAGATCCATCCCTTTCTTCGCCAGAGCATGGGCGTAGGGTAACCTCCTAATAGGTCTTTTGTACCTGCTCCTTCCAGTCATTATTG